TATTTTCGTATGATCTCTGCCTTGCTGAGCAGAAAACGACCAAATTTGGTTGATAAAAATGTATCGAAATACAAAGAATATTCATGCATTTTTGTATCAATTGGAATGTCTACTATTTATTCAGTAGACATTTTTTGGCTTATTTCTAACCAAACGCTTTTGTCCCGCTAAATTTATCTTCCAACGCACTGTGCGCTCGTCCGTCAAATGCAAAAATAACTGTCACTGTCTAAAATCTTTAGCGCCAACTTCAACTAGGTCAGTAGATGACGTAAAAAACTGACAGTGCAGGAAGATAGGAATCGAACTATCCTTATCTCTATAGTATCCTTGGTAGATTCCCTATTCCCGAAAAATCACCTTTTTTTACTTGTTTCTTATTTTAAAATTTGCGTGTTATTATGAATTCATAACAGCATTGGTGCTATTATGAAAGCTATAATGACATCTAAATGACGATGTTAAATGTGTCATAATGACATTGTCGTAGATTAAAGTTTTATATACAGGGTGGTCCGAATTGTATTCCGGAAACTTCGGCAGCATATTCTGCAGATAAAAATAAATAAAAAAGTTCGTATAAATGTAGGTCCTAAAATGCTTAGTTTCAGAGATACAGGGTGTAGAAGTTTCATTTTTTTTTTTCGATTTTTTCTAAATAATTTCTGAAGTAACGTCAATATTTGGATGAAAATTGGTGTATGGGAGTTTTTTGACATGAGAAATTTGATTTTGATGTCAATATGACTCCTACTAGTAGAGGGCGTAGTACCTGTATAAAACAACCGAGCGAAAAAATATCCATCTCTGTGACTTTTTACGTAAAAAATATCTCTTTGTAAAAATCGCTACGAGCAACCGCTCTTAAGATATTGTTATGATTTTTATGTAGTACCTTGTTTATATAGTGCATTGTTATGATTAACAAATTAAGGTTTATGTATATGTCGGACTGTATTATTCATAATGCATGGTTTTTATGACAGAGGCGATAGAATGTTACGGGAGATAAGATATTGTGAGCGAGGCTCCCGCGGCCAGTCGGTACCCGGCGCTCGCACGAAGCACATGTTTGTGTCGTAATCCTGAGTACTACGATGTAATAAAGGAGTTATGAGAGAAATCCAGTGTTTTATTTGAAAATACAAATTGTACTCTTACATATCAGAAGTGGGATAGAACTAATAGAAGTACCACAAGAGTTTAAAAAGTGCCAATATGCCATGTTGTGTGTGAATCCATAAATTAACTTGCTGGAAAAGGACATAAAGCCATAAAGCAACAAGTCCAGCAGTGTTAGTGAATAAAAAGGATAATAGTACATACAGGAAAACTTAGAAATTAGCTATTATCTAAACATCCTTTGGAAAAATATCACCTTCTACTTCAAAAATGAAAAAAAAAGCCAAGGCTGTTACGATGTGCAAGGACCAAACTACAAGCCATATTTGCTAAAATGAGTCTTTTGAGTTGCCATTTTGACATAGACACTAAAGCAGTGAGAAAATATCGCTTCCGAGGATACATTTGAATAAGATAAGCACACAAATATCACTTAAGTGAGGAATATAAAACTTTTGGTTGCTTGTTTATGATTTTAAAGGCATTATTGAAATTAATATTCCAATAAATTGAATTTGTAGAAGAAGCAAGTAAAATAAAAGGTTCAAAAAGAGATGTAGGAATAAAACTTTTGTTAATTATTTTAATACCGATTTATGTAACTTTCTGTGTGCATCGTAGGCAGGACAAGTACGGCGAGCAAAACGCTGACGTGCCGACTTTCAGTTTCGTTGGGAACAAGTTTCCTTCTATCATTTCGACCTACGTCTTTGCAATAGCACCGCTTTTGCTTTTTTGGGCCCCCCTTTTACATAATAACCTATATAACGGCTTCGGCTTTGTCATTTTACCTAGAATCGGTCGCCACGGTGTATGATTCTTGTATAGCTTAAAATAAAATAGGTGTTAAATGTTGTAAAATCAATATTAATAGATCTATATTTTTTAAACAAAAGATGTTATCGTGGGGACTATAATAAAAAAGAAGAACGAAATTATTGGGCAACCTACAGTAAGATTAGCCACGAAACATGGCTAAAATACGACTAATTTTAGCCATGTTTCGTGGCTAATCTTATTGTAGGTTGCCCAATAATTTCGTTCTTCTTTTATACGTTTTTATCTATATCGTTCTACAACAACGCTTAAGAAAAATTTTGAAAATAATTTGACGCCTAACCTAACTAAACGAATTGGTTTAGATTTATGGTGCCTATGTTTTTCTAAGCGCTTTAACATTTGACTTGGCAAAAAAAAACAAGAAAAAGTATGGGGACAGTGAAACCCCCAGTATTTCCCTACTTTATGACGTCTTAATCATTAAAGATTAAGAAAAAACTGTAACATAGGGTTCATAAATTATTATAAAACAGGATAATTTATTCAAATTGTATTATTATTACTGGGTTATTTAACGAAATATACCAATAAAATAAAAAAAAATTCAAAGAATTATTTATTAACTAATAATGAAAATAAATTTTACAGTTATAGGTAGGTATATTATACCTTGTTGGATATCAATATGCAGGATGACTCATTTATGAGAAGGTGTACAAAATAATTTTAGAATATCCACCTTTATAAACCAGGCAACATTTCTATTATACTTTTTTCCATATTTTTGTTAACAACGACGATGTTGGATTTCCTCGCAATAATGAACCACCCGGTATATTAAGGAAGAAGAAAACAATAGCAAAAAAATAATTTCAATAATCTCAATAATAATAATAAAAAACTATGATTAAATTAATTTATCACTTATTAATACATATAAGGTTATTCAGCACATATGACACAGAGTATTGTAGCTAAACGATTTGATTTTTACAAATTGTAAATTTTGGGTTCGTTGAAGGACTATTAGAACTACAATTGAAAAATATTTTTACAAGATACAGACTGTCCCAAATAAATTAAAAAATTTATAGTTGTATTTTTTGAATTGAGTATATTATTTTATTTTTAGATTCTACGATTGAAATAAAGGTGAATTTGATTAAGGTTCATCACATTTAAACCTTGCCGTTTTTGAAATATATTTAATTTTTTGAAATTGTAAGCAGGAACAATTTTACGGCTTCATTTCTCAAAGGGTATGAAAGTTTTTAATGCTAAATATTTACTGAAGTTTATTTATTGATCAGATCATCATTTTGTTGTAATAAAAAAACAATAGTACCCTATACAGTCTCTAAAAATTTATTTAAAATAATTACTAGCTTTAAACGGCAATAACTTGTTTAATTTAAATGGAACACCCTGTATATTTTAAGAGAATCAGATGCACAATTTAATTGACTATCGAATTGTATCATACCATTCTTTATCTATCTCTTCAAGTTTTCGTAAAAATCATTTTCTTATAATTTAGACCTCATTTATCAAATACCCTCATGAAATATGTATAGCAACAACATTAGGTCCGAAATAATATGTTAAAATGTACATTAATATTATATGCAAATAACATCACATAGGAGAACATTCCCATAAGGATAGCTTATATAAAAATACTCTATAAGAATCCAGACATGTGTACAGATCTTAAATAAATACAAGCATCAGAGCTTTGATTTTAATGTTTCTGGTACAAAACCACAAAAAACGCACAGCCTAAGTACCTAAAACCACAAATTTGGATGCATATGTGGTAAATTATTGCCAATTTTTAGATAAAATACGAGATATAATAATATGATACAAGATTTATTGTTATATGAATATCTAGGTCTTATAATATAGGTTATATGAATATCTAGATACTTGGCCAATAAAATTGAACCAAAAAAAAACTAGACAACTATTTTTATAGATACAAATTTAGTATGGTGTATATTTGGAATTTATTGCTCCCTCAATAAATCATAACCCTACACCAGAATGATATCATCTAGGAAATGACATTAATTGATTTAGTACAACTACAGTATTTTTATTTTTCAAAAAACGTGATTACCTAGACATCAAATTGGGGTAGAAAGTAAAATAGTCTCAAATTATATGTAGGTACACTAAAGTTTTTCAAATCTATCAAACTGTTTGTGTTTAATATATCCAAATAAATTTATAATTTGTGTTGTCAATACTGAAGTTAATATACTATCAATGGTTAAAAACCTTATTTTTTTCAGGAATAAATCACCTTACCATCAACAGATGATTAGAGAAAAGCTTTGATCATCTGGTGATGATGCTAACATGGTTAATGAAAGCATGCTTCCAAAGTTAATGGAAATTTCATTCTGAAATGAAATTCAAAATGGTCAACTTGTTATGATGAACTCTTTAAAACAAAAATCAAATCTACACCCTTAAAACGGCCATGTTTCGGAAATCGTTTACTTACAACTCTGTATGTATTTTTAATAATTTAAGAAAAGATATTCAAACTTTGTTTTTTCTATGTTCATCATGTAAATTTAAATCAAGTCTGAAAAACTATTTATTGCTGGAACAACAGACCCCAAGCTTAGGATAATTATTGTGATATTTTTTGTTTGATTGTTTACTTTTTAAATTTTTTGTGTTTGTTAAAACGTATTGGTCCATACAATCGAGCCACATTTATTGCTCATTTTATTTTCATCTGGACATTATTTTCGAATTTATGTTTCTTTCCTTATTATGCATATTATAAATGTATTGATTGGGTTAAGTATGAATGGCTCTGTGAGCTAGACTTCGCCTATGTAATTAATTAATACATTATTGTAATTGATTAATTATTAATAAAGACCATTTTTTATTATTATTATTATTAAAAGTTACAGCAATCTAAAAAAAACTGAAAATTAAGCTTTTGAACATGGTTTTGATAAAAATTATACAATAATAAACGCTCTAAATCATCAATGTCTTATTTGGGGTGTTTTAGAAGTGCTTTGCATGAAATTTGATCAGCATTATCTCCAACTCATTCCAAATGTACCCACCTTGTCTACCGACGATCTCAGCCACATGCTCCGAACTGGGCACCGGAACGCATTCGGTCATGTTCTGCGACTTCTTGGACCTGACCTCGTCCAACCCCACGCTGGTCAGCGGGTTAACGAAGGGACCCAATTCGTCCCTGGGGTCCATGGGGGGCTCCACCACGCTGCCCAAGGGCTCGTTGAAGCCCAGCATCGACAGCTCCAGAGCCAACTGGAGGGCTCTCTCATCCCCTATTCCGCTGGACCGGTCCATGTCTTGAAACAACGTAGCCGGCATAATGATAAACGAAGATAAGTCAGTTCTGGCGATGTTTGATGATGATGATTGTCGAGAAAATGTGTAACGCGTCGCGAAATTTTCGGTCAGTCACTGATACTCATATGAAAATGATATCGAGAAGAGATGGAGAGTATAATCGCTCGAAAAAAACACGTATTATCGACGACTTAACAGTTATTTATCCTCGAATACAAAAATATATTATTTTATATTAATCTAGGTTATATCTCTGTGATTATTTAGAAATAATAAGTTATATTGTGAGTTCCTGCGGTGGTAACGAGCCAAGCAGAAACGGAATCTACGGCTGCTTGGAAGTAACTGAAACGAAAATGCAGCCGGGCGGCGTGACTTGGAGAACCATGTGCGCAAAAGATGCCGGTCGGCGCGTGCGCAGAAGGAAGCCGGGTGGCCGGAGCGGTAGGCCACGTTGCCAAATGTCTTGGAAAAAAAAACCGGCTGGAAAAAGTCCACATTATCTTTATCAGAACTTATTATGAATAATAGCTCTTAGTATTATAATAGTCCTCTTTGTGGGGGTTACAGTAAGGAGAACATAATACAGGGTATTCTGTCAAAAAACAACCAATATCTACTATGCGTTATGCTATACGAATCAGTTTTCAATTCAGAAAATCGAATTTCTGTAACGTTTAGCATTACGAGGGGAGTCTGAAAAGTTTCCAACCTCACAATGAAACAGAAACAATATTTATTTGTTTATACAGGGTGGTTCGAACTGTATTCCGGAATCTTCAGCAGCATATTTGGCAGATAAAAATAATTAAAAAGTTTGTATAAACGTATGTCCTAAAATGAATAGTTTTGGGGATACAAGGTTTTCATTTTTATTTCGATTTTTTCCAAATAATTTCTAAAGTAACGTGAATATTTGGATGAAAATTGGTGTCGGGAGTTTTTTGACATGATAAATTTGATTTTGATATCAATAAGATTCCTATTTGTTGGGGCGCCAACTACATATGCTTTAACTGATTTGAAAAGAACTTTTCGTCCTTACCTGTATAAAACTACCGAGTAAAGAAATTTACATATCCGTGATTTTTGAGGTAAAAAATATCTCTTGGTAAAAATCGGTACAAAGCAGTGGCGTCTCCAGAGGGGGGGAGGGGGGGCCGTGACCCACCCTGGATTAGCTTGGGCCCACTAGTGGCCCACCCGCGCAATGTCCAGAAAATATACCGTCAACTTTCATTGATTTGTAATAAAATTATGTAATGCAATCTATACTAACATATAAAATCCTTAAGTAACTGACTCACTGATTAATCACGATCTTGCTCAAACCACTCAACGTAAGAAGCTCAATTTTGGCATAGAGGTTTATTCTAGGGTGTAGAGGTTCGACAAGAAGGGATTTTACGAAATTCCAATTCCAAGAGGGTATAAACTAAGGGGGTAAAATGTATAATACTTGAGAGGTAGTTTCATCTCGTTGGAATTTGACTTTCGAAAAATCCGTTTGCCAAAAATAAGCTTTTTATGTCGATCAGTTTAAACAGAATCGTGGTTAATCAATTACCCAACTTTTTGGAACACCCTGTATGATTTTTTAAAATTTTCAAAATATGTAAAAAACAATAGTTATTTTTTAAACATGACGATAAAATGGTATTTTATCGTCGACCAAAAAGAGAAAAATTTCGGGAGACGATAATGCAATTTTATCGTCGTGTATAAAACCATATTTTTTCCATAGCGAGTTACGTTTTAAAAACTATTCAGAAATTATTATTTCAAGGAATTTATTACGAGTAGAAAAAAATATTGTGCTGGGTTGGCGTTGGTTTCTATGTAATTTGACAAATAAATAAAGCTGTCGCTTTAGTTGTCAGTTTTGAGTCAATATTTTTTAATTCTTTTTTATGTCGATTGCTGTTTGAATTGGAGCCAGAAATGGCTCAAATAGAAATAAGTAAATTACCAACAGATATTCAGGCTGAGGCGACAAACGCCATATCCAAACTACTTCCATTTAAATCCCGAATAACTTATGAAAAGGAATACAAAAATTTCCTGAAAATGGAAAAAACATGCGAGAAGAAATAAAGTTTTTAACCTATCCTCACTGTTAAAAAGTATCACTTAATCTACCTTTGCGGTTAAAGCACTACTTTATTATCTACTATTTTTGATAGATATAAGGCAATTTTAACAGTTGCAATGGAAAAAAATAAATTATGCGTGCCCAAGCGTTTTCCCAAAAGACTAACCGTTTTTTAAATAACAAATCTTGTAACATTTGAGGAGCGTTTTCACTCTCTTGGAATTTGAGATTTGAGAAACCCCTCCTTATCGAACTTCTACACCCCACAGTCTATCCGTTTACCAAAATTCAACTTTAAACGTCAAGGAGTTTAAGCAGAATCGTGATTATTCAATGGTCATATTTTATGAAACACCCAGTATAAATTTTTAAAAAATCTTTAAAACAACAAAATAAAATATACGTGTTTAAGAGAATTTCCCGAAAAACTCACCGGTTTTTAAATAAAAAATATTCTAATATTTGAGGGGTGTTTCACCCCCTTAGAATTAGAGTTTCGAAAAAACCCTTCTTATCGACCCTCTACACCCTAAAGTCAATCCGTTTTTTTTTTAAGCAGGATCGTGATTAATCAATGACCAGACTTTTCGAAAAAAAAATTGTAAAAAAATAAAATAAGATATACGTGTTTAAGCGTTTTTTCGGAAACTTAACCGTTTTTTAAATAAAAAATATTGTAATATTTGAGAGGTGGTTTCACCCCCTTGGAACTGGAATTTCGAAAAATCCCTTCTTATCGAACCTACCGAACACATTGCGAAAAATGTTTCCATAGAGGAAGTCTAGCTTAATAACCTTTTGCTTGTATTGTTGTCTGTTTCATTTCATTTTAGCTGTTCATAGAAATTAATCAACAATTATTATGATATGGTAAATTATCTAGCCCACCCGAATAAAACTTGTCCCAGTAGTGGCCCACCCTGAAAAAAATATCTGGCGACGCCACTGCTACAAAGAACCGTTCTCATGATATTTCGAGTGGAAATAGTCAATACATGTCATTATTGACACAAAATAAACATGTTGAGTAGATGGTTATTTGATTGAATTGAAAAGTAAATTGAGATCTTTTTATTTTTTTAACTTTTTTAATCATATTTTTTTGAAAAAATGATGATAAAACATTTTCTGTTCAACTTTTGGCACAAAAACATTTAAAATTTATGATTTCAGTCTAATTACTACTTATTTAGTCAATATGCTTAATTTAAGTCAATGATGACAAGGTATTGATAATTTCGGTTCCAAATATCTCGAGAACCATTACTCCTAGCAATTTTTACGAAAATTTTTTATTTTTTTTACGTAAAAAGCGTCATAAATGTATATTTTTTACTTAGTAGTACACAACATCAAAAAGTAATGATAATTGAAAAAAGTGCAAATTGTTGGTGGCAACTTTATTTCGGTCTTAAAAATTAACCAAGGCATTTGTTGACATGAGCCAAAAAACAAAATTCTCAGAAGACATGGTCCTGATAGAAAAATCATGTTTTAGGAAAATTTGCTCACGAAATTATTGCAAGATGTGGCAAAAACAACCCTTTGATTAACCCTGTATAATAAGCCAAATACTAAAGTTAATAGAAAACTGACTTTAGCAATTAAAGTAGATATATTTACATACAGTTTGCTAAAAAAACATGAAAATAGGACTAAAAATTAAAAAAATATAACACTTTAAATTTGACACAAAAATTTCCGTTGCGTTTTTTTACATCTCACTGTATTTGACAAAATCATAAATGGTTATTGTACCAACTACCTAAGATAACTGGTTAATATTAAACCAATAACGAATATATAGTTTGTAAACTAGTTTCTGGTTATCCGCTATTTTGCAAAAATAGGCGGATTGTTTCAAAATAACGGCGCTGCTAAGTTTTAAGACAAACTAAGTATTCATTCTACCCGTAACAAATATACAGCTTCATTCATATTCTAAAAATAGAAACCCTTAGAAATCAATCAAATTCCTGGCAGGTGTACTCCAATATTTCCTCAACCCGCCCGACTTCCCACCTCATCGTGGCAACACCGCTCTCCGCCTCTCCGCTATTGGCCGGCACGTTGGGGATTACGGCGCAACGAACGCGGCCCGAGGGCACAGATCTGGCCCGATCTCGGCCGAAATTGGCCGATCGCCGTGGGGGGAAACAAAAGGAAACACGTGCTCGCCGGAACCTAGCTACGGGGGGAATTCGAGAGGAAAGGAGGGAAGTAACCGGCAATTTTTTTTCTGGTGTGATTTTTTGTCTCTCTTTCGTACCCTGTAAGGGATTGGGGTGTTGGTGGGGAAGTAATACGGAAAATAAGGGGTGGAAGGGGTTGAAAAAGATTATTAGAATGGAGTTCTGAAGGAACAGGGTTGGTTAATTTTCTAGGTTATTAGGTGGACTGGATTTGAGAAGGTCTTATACTTTATATAAATTATTTTATATTTTAGAAAGTTTGGCGTAGAATTATAACGATTACCGATTACCATATTTATAGCAAAGTAAGTGCAGACCATCTTTTTTCTTAAAATCAGAATATGCACTCTAAATTCAAGCAAATAACTTTTGAAGAAACCATTCTTTTTTTCTGTGTATTATTATAGTATAGCATTAACGGGGGGTTACACTGTGATACAATTATCACAGTAACGCAATACCCACGGTTTTCTAGGCTATCCTTCTCGCAGTCGAATTTAAGCATATAGCCGTCGATTCTAAACGTAAGGCAAAAGGGCCAGGGCCGGTATAGTAAAAAGGGAACGGCAGATGGCCTCAGCTTTCGAAACCCGAACCCCGCTTCCCAGAATTCGCGTCTCCGCGGAGGCTCGAAGGACCACAAAAGATCTCTTCGCCGAGCGCAGGTAAAACCGATTTTGTAAAACAGTTTTGTAACGCTTTTGGCCGGCTAAAATCTCCTTTTTTTTGTTTGGGAGAGATGGGTAATACGAGCGTAGAGAAATGCGATTTTTGAAAATTTTTGTACTCTCCTCTGTAGGCTGTTAGCAATTTATCTTATCCCAATTTTAGTATCTTACAGGTTACATATTCAATAATAAAAATATATGGCTTTTAGTCATATTATGTTAATACGGATTTAGAAAAAAAAACATGGAATGACCCATGTGAATAAAAATTTAACAATTACTGAAAACCATTAAGAGTCCATTTCACTAGTCGAAAAAAGTAGGAAAATAAGCGTTCGGCATTTAACGTTTTATGTAAAATTGGCTACTTATTTTTGCCACAAATGAAGAAGGAAATTAAATATAAAGGATTATAGTATATCCGTATTGTAGCACATTTTTAGACAAGTTCTTTATTTTTAAGATTTTGATGGTTAAACATAAAACAAAATATTCCTTATGTTTGGACTAAATTTTCTCGAAAATAAAGAAAATGAAGTTTTGTGATTACAGTGATATATAATTTTTATGTACCTGTAGCAAATTGTTCCCTATTTTATGGCAAATGCTGAAGCTCTGCAAAGCTTAATCAAGCCTTACCTAATCAATGCACGTGTGTTTGGGATTTTTGGTATGGCTTAACACGACAGGATCGGGCTAAGCTTTAGGCAGATTTGTGGAATATAATATACTTATATTTCCTTCGGCCACACACCTGCTTTTACTCGACCCCTGAGATAGTGGTGGAGAACTATCGATAGTCGTCACCATCGATAGTTCTCGATAGTCAAAGTGTTGACCATCGATAATTATCGATAGTATTCGATAGTTGGAAAATATTTAAATAATTTATTCTTAGATCATCTATATAGGTTTTTATTACGAAACATTATTAATTATTTCAAAAAACATTTGTAGGTAAAGATTATAACGAGAAACAAATATAATATAATCATTAACAGTAAAAACAATGAAATATTAAATAGATAAATATACAAACACAACCTACGAAACCTAACCTTAATATCTAATCCCTATTTAAAACCAATATTAGTTTTTTTTTTATTTTTTAATCAACCAATTGTTTTTGTTGATAAAAACCAACATATCAACATTTTTGGGTTTCAGTCTAGCTCTTCTATCAGTAATTATTTGACCAGTTTTACTGAATATTCTTTCAGACTCCACTGATGAAGCTGGGATGCATAGATATTTTTGGGCTAGTTGTTTTAAGGGTCTGAAATCATTTGCATTAACCTAGAATGGAAAAAGTTTAGATTAGTAGAATTAAATTTAAAACAAAGTAGGTACTTACTTTCCAAAATAGCAGTGGGTCTGTATCCGAGGCTGAATTCTGGCGTTCCATATAATGCCTTATATATGCCTTATACCTTATAAATGCCTTATTATACCTTATATATGCCGTTCCTTATAAAGCCTTATACTGCCTTTTCATTATAATAACACCTGCTGTGGTTGACTTTATTCTTTGCTGTATTTTGCTGTCCATGAAAGAAAATAGAGAGCTTGATCCCAAAAAACTTGAACTAGTACCTTCAGAACTTTCCTTGATTAAATCACTTGATATGGATGTAACTTCTTTTTCATTTTTTTCTACATAACTCATTTCTTGTTCCATAAAATGCAACGCTGATTTGATATTGTCGTCATTTCTGAACCCATCTTGTTTAAATCGCGGATCAAGTAATGTCCCCATTTGGGGAATTGTTCTTTTTTCAAATAGAAACAAACGCTTTCTTACAGATTCTTGCAATTTCAAGCAAATTTGTCTCCCTTCGTCTGTTTGCATTTCTGAGAACTTCTTTTCCAAAGTGTTATGAATTCCCTGAACAATGGGGATAACAAAAGAAATGGTAACATATTTAGTACCAGATACTTTTGTGGTCGCTTCTTCAAAACATGCTAAAACATCCACAACTTCCTTCAAAATAATAATTTCCTCCGCAGCTAGAGGTTGAGGAGCTCTAGGAATTTTCAAAAGAGTTTTATTGAGTGCATCACTAGTTTGAACAATTCGTTTCACCATTTGAAAAGCGCTATTCCACCTAGTCGAAACCTCCTGTATGAGTTTATATGGGGTGGCAGTATCTTGTTCCTTCTTGAACATGTCTGCAGCTATATTGCTGCTTTTCATAAACCTGACAATTTCTTTACATTTTATTAAGACATCCTTAAGTGGAGAAATACTGATAGTGTCTTGGACCACTAAATTTATGGTATGGGCAAAACAAGGAAGACTTTTCTTTTTCAAAAGATCACATGCTTTCATCATGTTCGCAGCATTGTCCGTTACGATACCTGAGATTTTGTTTTCTATACCCCATTCCACAAAAAGATCTTTTAGTGCGCATGAAATGTTTTCAGCAGTGTGGTTTACACCATTTTCCAATGGTTTTGTGGAGAGCACTGCAGATTTTAATTCAAAGTTACTACTAACAAAGTGACATGTTACTGTCAAATACGACTCAGTAGCCCTCGATGACCACGAGTCAGATGTAATAGCAACATATTTGACATTCTTCAATATATCTTTCAGCATCTGATGACTGTCATCATATATTTGTTTCATGATTTTTTCTCTTATGGTAAATTTACTCGGGAGAACATCTCTAGGATCCATCAAATTCACAAAAATTCTGAAGCCGGTATCATTGACTATGTTAAATGGTTGAAAATCAGAGGCAATCATTAATGTTAAAGCATTGTCTAACTGCTTTTTTCGTAGAGAGTTGTCACTGTACTCAATTTGTCTTCTGAAAAATGGGCTTACTGACCTTGAAGAAGAACGAGTATTGGAGCCAGCAAAGGTAGACGGACAATCATCACCAAATTCACTGTCTACTGGTATGTTTCTTAATAGATTAGGATGAAACCTATTTAGGTGGTCATTTAAATTTGATGTGTTGCCACTTGTCTTATATTCTTTGCCACAATCGAGACACTTGGCCAATTTTTTATCACTTGATCTTTTAAAAAATTTCCAAACCTTCGAGATTTTTTGTCTTTTATTAGGTTTTTCATTTTCTGCTCTCGGTCCACCAGTGTGAAATGAATCAGTATCTGAAATACTGCTTTCGCCTGGATCAACTAGGTCAACTACAGTCTCAGTAGTAGGTTCACCTAAAATTCCAGAAAAAAAAACATGAAAAAAGTATTGTTTCTACTGGTTTTGTGCTCAATGAAAATGTTATGCTGATGTGCACAATTATTACAAATTTAGACGTACCTGTTCCGGTTTTATGATTAGGTTTAGAAGAACTCTTGCGAGAGATATTCAAAAACTTCTCCATTTTTTAATTTTCAATGCACAAAACACGAAAAAAAAATTCAATGCTTTGTATCAAATCATCAAATCAATAACAATAACCTGTAACCTCACTTTCAATTTGACATTTGGCGTGATTACAGATGGCACCGATGCATCGATGTTTTTAAAACGACAACATTTTTCGATGTTGCCATCCCTAGACGCAGCACGATTACAAGAGAAGTTGTCTCGCTCGGGAAGGTGTCGCCGAAACGAAAAGTGACTATCGTAAACTATCGATAACGTAATAAAACTATCGATAGTATCCGATAGTAAAAACTATCGATATTTATCGATAGTACAATCGATAGTTCTCCACCAACCCTCTGAGTGCGACCCGAACAGTACAGCGTAATAGCACATCAATGTGTGGACTGATAAAAATTTCTTTAATACCGTGACAATTTCATTCAAATATTTGAAAAATTTCTTTGGCACAACAGTAACATATTTCACTTGACAACAAACAAAATCCGTAAACTTTTCTTTCTTCTATTTAACTGATCTTTTTTTAATGGTATCATTTCCGTTTTTACCTATCTTGTATCGGAAGTATTGCGAACTTTTGTGCCTGTATTTCTATTTGTCCACATGCAACCTTAGGTAGACAGATTCCTTTCCTTTGATTATTATGCGATATATTAACCTTAGAAATAAACCTAAAGACGAACTACTATAGAAGACTCTAGCCACCTGGATTATATATTCCTTTAGAGGCATTTTTAGTTCGTTGTCAGTCAGAACTATTCACTGTATGATCTGTATAATTTTTATAATGTACGAAATATAACGAGACGTGTAATTGTGTAATGTTAAAAACATATAGGTAAGTTTTATTGCAGATAAAAAAAAATAAAAAAGAAACTCAAATCAGAGTTTAAAAAAAACTATATCTATCACATATCAATTGGAGCAAATAATACGTCACTTTTTTCACAGCTTTTTGTTTTTATCTCATAATTCGGAATATCTACTTCTTTTTATAAGATATTACTTAATTTTAGGGATCTAAAGTGAAACATTCCCATAAAATATTCAAAGAACAAACTAAAAATCAAAAACAGTATCCCCGTCAATTTTCTGTGGTAATTACGCCGGCTGTGGCAATAGACAAAGCCGAATCCATCGTTGTCGCCTTGTATTATATCTAGGATCTACTGACTGAATAGATTCCGTGAACTAGTATTTTAATTAGTTCTTCTAGCTCCTCTCAGTCCTTTCGGTCCGGGACAGGTAACATAGGGCTGGCAGTCTCCACTCCCGCCTGTAGCATCGGGCTACGATCGCGCTGGCCGATCCGTCGCATTTTATTATTGTATTCCTTTGAAGAATCATGCCCTGTCTTTGCAGGGGAACTAGTTCCTTTCATTCCGGGGTCGGAATTGTTCATTGGAACTAGTTCGTTCACGAACTACACACCTCTATTTTGTGCGACCTGCAGTTTCCTTATAATGTCCGTTTTAAGTGTCCAGGTTTCGCATGCATAGGTCATGACTGGTATACTCTGTTTTTTTTCTCAGGTAAGATTTCGACAGACGATGACAGAAGAAAAGCAGATGACGTCTCATACCAATCTATTTATTTTACTAAAAAAAGTTTCTAATCATTTTTAAGTTATCTATGGATGGGTTTAAATATAAATCCGTCATGCGTCGTGTCTTGTTGTTTTTAACCAGTTTTATTGGTTTATTTAAAAAATGACAGATCGTATTTCAATTTTATTGGTTTGACGGAACGATGAACGACAAACGGACGCCGATGCGTATGAACTCGCCTTTAGATTTTTGTCATTTTTGACGCTTGTCAAAGTCTTGCCAAGTTATAGGTTATAATTTTGTGTCAACTTTTGTTAAATACCCTGCGTTTTGGAAGATGATGCATTTTGATTCGTATTATTACGTGTGTTTTGTGTCTTTTGAAGTCGTACTCGCTGCCCAAGCAGAAAGTCTGATACACCATTATACACCAATGAAGTTGCCATCGATAAAGTTTGTATACCATTTCGTCGTAGATAAGTGCATCTCGTATATGGTAGAAGGATCAAACTAAACACATACTGAAAACTGGAGTAGCTGTAAAATATCGACATCACACGATAGGTAAATAATGGATTTTAGTACTGCAGAAAAATAATGTCAAAAGGTACTGGTTTAAAAAATTAAGATTAAAGTTAATTAATCAACCTTTAAGGTATAAAATTTGGTAGGTGTTATTATTAATAAAATAGTTTGTTTTATTTACCTATGTTGTTTTATTTATTCCTGTGGAATATTACAAATTTGTATTTGTACATAAGTTATATTGATAAATATAATCATAAATGCGGGTAGTTTCATAAAGCTTGAAAGTAAATAAGTGTTCATTTTTATATTTTTTTGGTATGTAGTGTCTTGTTCTTGTTTCTTTTGTATTAACACATACCGTTTTTATTAAATAAAATAACTCGATTACATTTTTTCAGTTTCATATAGTTTTTTTCACAATATTTTGAAGTAATCACTTGTCATCTTGTCAATCAAATTTTAAATATATCCTGCTATGCGTTACAGTTGCACCAACTTATTTCTTTGTAAAATAAAATAAACTACTTTGAAATTAAAATGACAGACACATCTATCACTGTCAAGGATCTTCTCGTTGGACAGACTATAGTACACATTGGTCGAAAGTGGAATTCTAGATTCGAATATGTTTGAGTTTCTTCCATAAGTAAGTACTTCATGCTAACTTAATTCTTCTGATTTCTGATAGTAGAGATCTAGAGGTGTATGTCTAAAATATTGTGTTATTTTAAGAATGTCTTTTCTGTCCACTGGTTCATTGTATAATACTTTAATTTTAGCTAAATTCATTTTGAGACCCACTTTATTCCTGGCTGTATTTAGTTTGTTAACTTGGGCTTGTAGTTCTTCAGGACTATAAGCAATTAGGACTATGTCATCAGCAAATCTTAGATCGTTAAGATATTCTTCATCTATTTTTAATTCTTTGTTGGTCCAGTGCAGCTGACGAAGGATTTCTTCTCTTGTTGCTGTAAAGAGCTTTGGGGATATCGCGTCTACCTGTCGTAAGTCGTACTCTTTTGCCAATTGGGTTTTATCATCAAATGTTCTATCTAAGAATAATATATTTTATAATCACAGTGTGTGTGTGTGTGTGCGCGCGCGTCATCTAAACTAAAATAACAAACTTATTAATAGTTATTTTTTATACAAGACGATAAAATGGTATTTTATCGTCGACCGAACAGATTAATTCACGAGCGATGAAATCGCGAGTGAATTAATTTCGGGAGACGATAATATAATTTTATCGTCGTGTATAAAACAATATTTTTTTCCATAGCGAGTTACGTTTTAAAAAATATTCAGAAATTATTATTTCAAGGAATTTATTACGAGTAGAAAAAATATTGTGCTGGGTTGGCGTTGGTTTCTATGTAATTTGACAAATAAATAAAGCAGTCTCTTTATTAGTTGTCAGTTTTGAGTCAATATTTTTTAATTCTCTTTCGTGTCGATTGCTGATTGAATTGGAGCCAGAAATGGCTCAAAAGCCATATCCAAACTACTTTCATTTAAATCCCGAATAACTTATGAAAAGGAATACAAACATTTTCAATAATTGGAAGCAATTAAAAAACGTGCGAGAAGAAATAAAGTTATTAACCTATCCTCGCTGTTCAAGTATCATTTAATCTACCCTTGCGGTTAAAGTACTATTTTATCTACTATTTTTAATAGATATGAGGCAATTTTAACAGTTGCTTTCTTATAAAAAATAATAAGTCTATAAAATCCTGATTAGACTTTATTGTTTCACAATTTTTTTATAACTTACACTATTCCCTCTGTTAAATTCTGAAAATCGCCTTAATTTGAAATCGAGGCTATTTGCTTCTGACCTATAGATATATGAATAAATAATTTATATTTTTAACTTTTTGTAATACTGTCGGCAACGGTAGACACAATCGAATGTGGAAGAAATAAACCACCTGGACCGATCACTATAATTATATGATGCTAAAATACAAATTTATTATAGTTTTATCGATCTTTATCGATACCGCAAGACGAAAAAAAGCTGCAATAATAATAATAATCTCAAGGATAATGATTGAGAATAAGAAAAAAGTCGAACAATTTCGAAACGAGACTCTATAGCACTAGGGATGTACCGTTGTATCGATAATTTCGATACAACGATACAAAATTTCTGCGAAACAGTTTCATCATATTTTTGATACATATGTTTCGTAACATAAGTCGCTTTTTGTTTCGAAACGTTTTACCAAAGTATGGTTTCGCTACATAAGTTATAACAATAAAGATCTTAGTGTCACAAATTTTTCGAAACTTTTAAGAAACAGATGTAGCTCACATTTACAAAGATTTCGTACCCGTTTTGTGCCTGAAAAGTTTCCTTAATTTATTTGATATTCTGTCATATATAAGAACATAACTTTACTTTATTGTTTTGATTTTGTTCTGCAGTTTTTGTAGTAGAAGTAGAAGTATTCTTCAAGTTTTTATAGTACTACAATTAAAAAAGCAGAAGGAAGGACATATCGTGAGTACAAACACAGATATTTTTCTTATGCGATTTTATAATTATTTATTATACGCATTACAGATATTATTTGATTTAGGAATAAATGTAATAACAGCCACTACCCATACCCAACAGAAGATCAGAGAAAAGTGTTACCAGCAAACGTTCTTTTCTCTTTGTTCCAAAATGAAATACATTTTTTTATGTTTTAATTGTGTTATAATAATTAAATAAAAATATTTTAATTATTTCGACCAGAAGTTTTGATTGGCGTTGTTGACAGGTGACTAGTTCGTAATTTTAAAAATAGATAGCGGAAAATCGAAACATTTTGGAAACAAGTTTCCATTTATTGTCTATACATTTTCGAAACACGAATTTCTCGCTTTTTAGACAGAAATATGATATAATGTAGATGATTTGTGTCGG